TTACAGATGAATATCTTAAGATTTTGTTTGAGAGTTTGTAAGGGAAGGGGAGGAAGGGAATCTAAGGGAAAGGGAGGGGAAGGAGTGGAAGAGAAATATATCCCTTTCCTTGAGTTAAAAATATGGTAAGGGAAAAAATAGAGGGTTAATGAAATATTTTTACCATTTTATCCTTTCTTTAAAAATTAATATATTTATGAGTATATATATTAATTTTTACTTGTTCTAACTTATTCTCTGATCTGGATAAAATACAATAGGCCCACCAAAGGGTTAAAATCCAAAGATTAAAAGCTCAAACACATAAGGCCCGAACAATGCGCGATATCCACATCGTGCATCAGTGAGCACGATGGCTTCATCGTGCCCAAACCGCCTTAAACATGACTTCAGAGTTAAGGAAGTGATTAATAATACGAACAAAGGGTCACCGCGCCATAGAACCAATACACGAAAGATAGCTCCAGCTTGCCATCACTCTATCTAGATAGCTTGACATAATATAGATAAGGCCAGAAAGGCACCAGCTGAACCTGCAGCCCATAAACAGCCAATCAGAAGGCATACCGCCTACTAAATGCGGCATCATATTCACTATATAAACAAAGGGTACATACCCAAGTATGATAATCTAATTCAGTACGAATACCACATAAGCCTGACTTTGATACTGACTTGAGCGTCGGAGTGTCATTGCAGGTACCCACCCCAGTCAGGCTCATCGCGCCAAAGAAGAATCATATCCATCTCACTACAAACAGGAAACAACCAACAACAATCCAAGAAGCAGATAATTCAACCCAAAGTCTTCTCTCATCAACTGTGTGTGATTAGGCTCGATACATATTGGTCAGCCCATTATGTATTGGTCCGATCATTCTCCTAATTATTTAACTTGAAAATAAGTTTATGTTACCAATGGCCCATCTAAAGTTTTAAATTCAACTAAAAGAAATAAACCCAACTAAATTAAAGAAGGGGGAGGATATTGTGACAACCAAGTTGTGTTACTACCAAGTGACTACCAATCAATCTCACCGTTAGATCGATTATGTTGATCTAACGGTTATATTTATTTTCATCTTTGTATGGTCATGATTCCCCATATTTAAAGTGAAAGCATTAAATATGGGAAATCATAACCATACAAAGGTGAAAATAAATATAAAATATTAAATTTGGGGAATCATGACCATACAAAAATGAAAATAAATATAACCGTTGGATCCATATAATCGATCTAACGGTAAGATTGATTGGTAGTCACTTGGTAGTAACACAACTTGGTTGTCACAATATCCTTCCCCATTAAAGAAAACAAAAAAACACAAAAGAGAACAAATGGGCTTACGTAGTGGCCCACGAACTTGTAGTTTGGAGTAAATGAAAAATTCAAACCCTAGTTCCTAAAATAATAGAAAGAGAAAGTAATATGGTAATGGGCATGCACTAGCAGCTAGCGTGAATGGTGTTGTGGAGGAGACAACACAACGCAACATGGTGGTGCTTGCGGTGGTCCGGCGGCGAAGCGATACTAACTATGCAGTGGAGCTTGTGATTGCTGGCGACCTGCGATGATGGCGGCGATCATGGAGGTTTGGCGGCGTTGTTATATGTTGCTATCTACGATGATTCACATCTTTGGGGATGATCCTGAAGATTTGATCGAGATAGTTAGCGTTAGAATAAAAGAGAAAGGTGTCTTGATTTTAATTGTCAGGGTAAATAAGTAAATTCGAATCCAAAACAGGAGAACTTAAATTTTAAGAACTTTTGGAGGATTTTGTGAAAATTCTCAATTATTTCCTTTCATTTTTTTTAAACTCACAAATAAGGGAATAGATTAATAAAACTCTCTCATTTCTTTCCTTTCCTTCCTAAATCTATCTTCCAAACAAGCCCTAAGGCAGCCGAGACTGAGGTGAAGAAACTTTGCTAAGTATGCGGAAGCAATGACTAATGAAGAAGACGGGAAGGTAAAAAACCTTTAATTAGAATCTCTATTAGATTTCGTTTTAGCAAAAAAATACAAACTTAAGGAAAGAAGAAAAATAAACAAAATGAAGCAATTTTCTCACGTCCTTTACTGAAGGATCAAATCCTTTAAATAAGGATTACAAACTAATAGATACAAAATAAAACCAACTGCTATTGCTAGATTAAATAACTGCTATATATTGCTAACTTGATGGTAAAATAACTAGCCAGTCATGCTAAGAAAGTGGAAGTGTGATGGGTTTGTATCAATCTGGAGGCTTCAAAGCAGAGGGAAGCCGAGTTGCAACAATGATTGAATGAAGGAGGCTTCGAAGTAAAAGGAATAACAAAGGAGGCTTTTATTGGATTGATGAAATAACAGAGGAATCAAATTTGAATTCCCAAAAACAATTCATGACTGAGTAAAAGATTGGAAGCTAAGGTGATGTGGTGATCGACGGAGCGTGGAAGAGGCAGCTCCGTTGGTGTTGCAAAGATGGTATCGTACTTGAAGAGTAAGTGTTCAATCGCAGGTGGCAACCCTAACTCTGTAGAAGACGTTGCCACTGGGATAACTTGGAAATGGAACATTTCGGCAATGGCTTGGGTCGACGCCAGCCTTTTTAGTTGGGCCGTAGACAAACTTTGAATGTTAGTGGTTTGGGCCCCTGTGAGTAGAACCACTTGCCCATTTTTTATGAATTTCATAGTTAACGCATCATAGTCCGTCAATATTGGGCCTAAAGTCTTAAGCCACTGCACTCCTAAAACAAGGTCTGCCCCAGTAATTGGTAACACAAAAAAATCCACAGAAAATGTATGCTTGCTCAACACTAAGGAAACTTGCTTGCATACAGATGAACAAGTCATCTCCTCTCCATTCCCAGTTACCACTGAAAAGGGCTGGGCTGCTTGTACTTCGAGGCCCAAAAATTTGGCAATTCTCTCCTGCATAAAATTATGCGTACTGCCACTGTCAATTAACACAACCAATTTCGCTTTACCAATTCGCCCTTGTACACGCAATGTTTGTGGGATACTATGACCCACTAAGGCGTTAAAGCTGATTTGAACATTATTGGGCTCGAAATCTCCCTCCAACGGCCCAGCATCCTTAGGGTAGTTCGTGGATTCATCTCCTGGATCAATCAATTCATTTTCATCATGCTCCGGTGGAACTATCAGCATCATAAATTGTCTCTTACACTTGTGGCCAAAATGATACTTCTCATCACAGTAAAAACAAAGTCCTTTTTCCTTCCGTGCTTGTGCCTCTTCGGGCGATAGCCTTTTGATCTGGGTTTTGTTAATTGTTGCTACAACTGTCTTTGCTACAGGGACCACAGAATTTTTTGTCAGCACCGTGCTATAGCTGGATGAGGGAACTGTGGCAGATTTCCCTTTCTGCGTATGGGACACGTCATTCAGCTTGTCCTCTTGGAGTCGCGCGAGACCAATCACCTGAACCAGAGACGCTGGTTGCAAAGCCATCATCTCACGACGGATTTCTGGTTTCAATCCAGAGATGAAACAGCTCAGGAATGCGTTGGCTGGAAGACCAACGATCCGATTTGCCAACGCTTCGAATTGGGTCCGATAGTCACGTACCGTTGTTGTCTGAGTCAATTTGAAAAGAGCTCCTCTGGGATCTTCGTACTGTGACGGTTCAAAACGCAGCTCAACTGAGTGCAAGAAATGTGCCCATGAGGGAAGTTGCCCATTTGCGTGCATCCATTGAAACCACCCCAACGCCTCTCCTTCCATGTAGAAAGAAGCGATGTGCATGCGTTGATCATCGGGAGTTTGGTGGTAGTCAAAGAACTGCAAAATTTTGAATATCCATCCTAAAGGATCAGATCCATTAAACCAGGGAACATCCAGCTTCATCCTTGTGTTCGGACCGATGAAGGGTGGAGGAGTAGGGAAACTCCCTTCACTGATTGGTTTCTTTTGCTCCATGGTCGTAACCTTATGCATCATATTCTGCATATCTGCCTGCATTTGGCGCTGTGTTTCCATCATCATGTTCATGGCATTTTCAAACATTTCTTGTGATATGGATTGAGAACCGGTCATGGTGGCTCTCAATGAAAGCACCACTTGATAAGGGTAAACTAACAAAACTCTCTTCGAGGGAGAGTCCCTCCACAAACTAAAAGAACTACAAATTCTTCACTGATTTATTAATAACATTCATCCCCTTAAATAGAACAAAGGGAATATTTGGAGGAATACAAATGACGAAAGGCATGCGTAAATGACTAACAATATTCCCACAATTTCTGGGACCACTCTAACAACCACAACCATCTCACATGATGAAATCTCTCATCCATTTGGGCTTAGCACGATTTCTTTTTGCCCACCTGTCATTCTGTTTAACAACTTGCTCATCAGTGTGAGATGTATTCTCCTCTGTCTCCTGGTCCATTTGCTCTTGTTCAATGTGTGCATCTTCATTGGGCTGGCCCATATCATTTATTTTTCGAATTTACATAATGGCACGAGGTTGTTAGAATTTAATTAGTCTCAAGTTCGAATCTGAAGTAATAGGTATAAGGTATGTTACTATGCTAAAAACTATATCATTAAGCCAGTAGGATTGGTATGGTGATTAGAGATTTTAGGTAATTTATATTAAGTTATATGCTCAATTCTCACCATTGTATCAAAAAAAAAAAAAAAAAAAATTGTCATCATGAATCTATCCGGCTCAAATTAAATTTATCAAAAATGTCAGATATTATTGCCCATAACAGAATCTTGCTTATACCGCCACATTAATTTCTTCCAGCATGAAGCATTCTACTTGCAAACGCCAAACTAAAATTCATTCCGATGGGCCTCAGCCTCGAACATAAAGTATGAGAGCCCTAACTTATCTGACATCATAGAGGAGCTACTTTTATTTTGATCCCCTTGGGCCAACAAATTCAGATTGAAGGAAGAAAAAAAGAGATATTCAGCGCAATAACTAGCAACTTGAAAAAAAATACATTATGCAATTTATCATTGAACACGGTATTACAAGTATCAGATGTTAACAACCATATGCCAATGGAGTTCTACCAAAAAAAGAAAACAGGTGAAAAAGAAAATATGATCTGAATATTGTATTGATGACATGTAGAACACATGAACTGTGTTCATCATTATTATACAGCACCTAAAAAAAAGGGAGAAATAAAATTCAATGCCCAATAAGAAATGTAATAAACTGACAATAAGATGTTAATAATATCTTAAAATGGGCAAAAACCCCATATACTCTCAGCCATGAGTATTAAAAGCTTCCCACAACAAATTATGGGCTGCAGGGTTAGTCACCTCCCTGGCTTGTAGGGCAGCAGTCCTTAGGGTCTTGAGAGTCCATAGATTGGCCTCTAAGAAAGACAAGCTCCTATAAGGCAAATTATGTTTCTTGCATAGATCTATCACCAATGGTGAAACCTTCCTTAATTGTGCCCTGGGAAGCCTAGGGAACAAATGGTGCTCAAGCTGGAATTGTAAACCACCAAAGAACCAATCCATCCAAGATGAGCAAGAGATATCCAATGTCCCACTTGTCTGCTTCTCAAACCAGTCATTGCCATTTGGTGGCCCAAGATACACATTAGCAGCAAAGTGATTCAAACAAAATTGAAGGTGTTGGATGGAACAAACAGCAAAGCTAGCAAGCACAAACATGACCCTTTCTGACCAATTTGGCAGGCAAGAAACAAGAAGAGGGAACCAAACCCAAAACACAAGGATTCCCAAGATGTTCATGGTTCTATCTGGGACTTTACGCCTTGAAAACAAGAGCAAAATTGTCTGCAGGTACAAGTTGACCCTGGCAAAGCACAGGACTGGATAAAATGTCCAGTGCTGGTAACTCACCAGAAACCTGGTTAAAGAATCAAACTTTAACTGCCTCCCATAGAAATAAGATTGTATTGAACTGAAAAAACGAGAAGACACGGCAAAAACTGGGATATGTTGCAGATCAGGATCATAGTCAAGGCTATTTGTAGCAATATGATGAGCATTATGCGTCCACTTCCACCAGGCAATGCTTATCCCAGTCAAGCAATTCCCACAAATAACTTGTGCCAATTTGTTATAACCACGACTTGACATAACCTCATAGTGACCAGAATCATGACCCACATAAGTGCTTTGCATCCAAAGCAAACCCAACAACATGGCAGAACCCAAATGAGCCCACACGCTTGTGCATCCCAGGATGCCATAAAGAACAATAGCAAACATAACAGCAACAGAGGTTAGTGTGTATAAAGTGACATGCTCTTTCTTCTCAAAAAGACCCATTTTTACAAACTCAGATGCAAGCTTCCTATAATCCTTGGACACCTCGGAGACCTTGAAATCCCTGAGGTGATACCCAGTGAAGAGTTTATCAAGATATTGCCATGCTGTGCCAGGATGATATGCTATGAATGCATCGGTGACATCTTGGCCAGCAAGGTTCAATATTGGAACTTCTCCACCAGGATGATCCTTGACCCAATCTGAGACATTGTAAACCTTACCCTGTATTGATATCCACAAATCACCTTGCTTGTTGTGCTTCTTAAGCTCCTCAGAGGTGATGTACTTCTTCTTCTCACCCTCCATAGTCCCCAAATAAAGATAACAATCAACCCAAATGAGAATAACAGCACAAAATAAAATAAAAAGTATATGATTCACAGGAAGATAGAAAGAAAAAAGAAAAAGAAAAAAGAGGTATCTGATCCTGCAATGTAAGCAAATTCTCAAAACAAGGAATCCCCTTTTATTTTAAAGATGGGGGTGTTCACAAGGACAACCCCACCAATTGAGGGACCTTGATTGGATATGCTTCCGGCAGGGATCTAATGCCCCTTCCTTTCAATATCTGTGTTTATCTCACAGTTTGTGCCTTTATTTGTTATTCTAGGATAGTTTGAATGTGCTAAGGAAACTTATATGTACGCCAAAGGACACCGCACAAAAACAACAAATGTCTAGTTTAGGCTTTGTCCAATAATAAAGACACCCTGTTAAGCACCAGCAAAGCAATTGTGTGGCTGTAATGAACCTGGATGCCCTTAAAATGTTGCTTATGCTTGGTTTTATTTATAACTCACTCTTGTATCAATGGTTCTTTTGTGTAGGCCACAGGTTACTAACACTAGGTTGCATTGCAGGGTATATTTTTTTCGTTGATAAAGAGTCCAAGCAAAGATATTTTTGGGAACGGGTAATGCGATGCCGCCTCACGTGCCTCCTGTTGTGGATGGAGTCACTGCGGTACCTGCAATTCGATTTTGACAGAATAATATATAATGTTATTTATTAAAAGCATGATGATAACTTGTGAAAAAATTGTTTATGTATAGTTATTATGGTGGTTGCACACTTGCACTTAATAGAAAGAAAGTAGGTGTTGTTGCTTTTGTACAAAAAAATAAAATAAAATAAAAAAGAGTTGGTGTTGCTTTCATTTCGTTGATTTTGGGAATTCACTTTTGGGTAGGCCACATGCGACTACTATTGCGTTGCATTGCAGGGTAATTTGGGAGGATAAACTTCAACCAAAGATATTTTTGGGAGCGGAAAATGCGATGTCGCCTCACATGCCTGCGGTTATGGAGGGAATCTCTGCTGTCTCTGCAATTTGAATTTTATAGTATAATATTTTCAATAAGTATGATGATGATAAATAAAGAAAAATATAACGAATACTTGCTTCCTTGCACTTATAATTTATAAAAGAAGTCGGTGTTGCTTCTTATTCGATTTGTAGTCAAAATATTTATTATTTGTTGCCTTTTATTAATAAATGTTTAGATATTATCAGAAAATCCATTAAATTTCATATTTATTAAGGGTTTCATTTTTTTCATTTTAAATGACACAAGTTATGTCATTTTAGGAGAGAGATAGACACAAGAAATGAAAATCATAAGAAAGAAAGTGATTGATCGTTTTTAAAATTTAAATAAAAAAATTATCAGATATCTATCTCTCTCTTAAAATAACATAACTTTATGTCATTTAAAATGACAAATACTTTTCCTATTTTTAAGTTTGCTTATCTCTTATTCTTTTTGGTTAATAGATACAAACTTCCTCACCAAAAAAGACAAAATAGATACAAACCTATCTTAATTCTTAAGTCTATTGGAAACAACGCATAAGAAATTTTACGAAGATAGCCTACAAGAAAAATGTATTGATAAAATTGGAAGTAGGTCCAGCTAGCATCTTATCTTATATTTCTTTAATGAAAATCTTATGAAAACACCGACTAAAATCAATATATATATATATATATATATATATATATATATATATATATATATATATATATAATTGGGCTGAAAGAAAGTTGAGCCAGTTCGTGAATTTGCTCTCAACTTGGTTCATTAACTAATTCGAGTCGTATGGACCTACTTCGTGGGACAAAACTCTCAATTTTTTATTTTTTATAAAGCACAAGTACCCTCAATGATAGATAATTCTGTTTGGAGTAGGTTTATTAAGATTTTAAAGGATCAAACAGATGCTCTTGTTTCTATTTACTCATTTTCTATAGGCTAACTGAGCTACCATCATTTGATGGGACAAAACTCTCATAACAGTTACTAATTTATTAATAATTTTGATCCAATAAATTATAATTGTAGATTGACGAAAATCAATAATTAAGATCTGGTGTTAAAAGAATCTTGCCCATATATAATAATAATAATAACATTTTTAATTTAATAGAGTGGTGTTTAGTGTTATTTTTAGCTTCACTAAATTGTTTTGAAATTGAATATATGTAAAAGGTTTTATTACTTTACAAATTTAAATCTCAATAATTTAACTTAAAACATATAACTAATATAATGTTTAATATTAACTTAGGGTGATCCAAATAAGTTTAAACCAAAATCAAATTAAACCTAACTTGAGTCAACTCCATTCTCCGAAGACAAGTGTAGACAAATGAGACCGTTAGTGGCTATAAAAAAATACCCTGGCAATGGCTCGAAAGGGACATACATACAAAGAGATATATCCGAATTTGGGAAATTAAAATCTAGATCTTATATTTGGATTTTGAAGTAATTGACCAAAACTTGCGGTTGCAATTTATCTTGGATAGGAAATTTCTGAGTAATAGACTTTGAGAGACCTTTCTCATTACTACGTTTATTTGACTTGGACCATGACCGGGACATTAATGCATAGAGTCATAAAAAAATAAAAAATATATATTATTGTTTACCTTTTTGTTATTTATTACTCACACAAAACTTAACATTCTTTTTAAAGTTTAAAACTTCCAAAAAGTGTCAAATACGCAGAACTTTTTAAACTTTTTTTATTTTATCTTAAATAATCAGAATGATTGTTAAGCTGATTTTAATTTTTGTGTTTTAAAGAAGTTTATTTTGTTTATATAATACTACATCTTATTTTTCTTAGGAGTTGCAAGTTTCCATAATTATAGACATGGTTATGTCTATTTATGATGTGCTGGGGGAAAAAAAAGGGCATGTAAATAAACAGTCAATTAAAGAAAATTACTTTATGGACAAAGTGGGAGTGGTTTGCGACCACGAAATTCACTTTCGGCAAAGTTGAGAAAATACGCGCAAGTTTTTATAATTTCATCGACATGCAATGTGCTCACTGTCCGTTTGTGTTTTTAGTCGCGTATTTTAAGATTATAGAAAATATAAACAGCTCATAGAATTTTTCAAAAAAACACACTAACTTCAAAACGTGTATATCGATAATATGCTTCCAGAACATCAAGATTAGCTTTGATTACGAGGGTGGGACAAGGAAATAAAGGGTTAACGACCCTTCTGATATGATTTTTATTTTTTTTTTAAAAATAATATAATTTTTAAATAAAATATTTATATAGTGGAATGAGTCCAGCACTCCAGCACGTTATTTATGCAGAATTAATCTGCACGTCTCCCATACGAAACTGTCAGGCATCGCAAATTGATAAAATTAAAATTTGTTTTGAAAAAAATTAACCACAGTTTTATTCATGACGAATTTTTTAAAACTGATCTCACACACTTTTTACGTGGAACAATTATAAAATTAATCAAAATTTAAAATGTGACTAATTTTTTAAAAAGCATGTGTGAAGGCAGCACGCAACGGTTTCGCATGGGAAGGTTGCAAGATTAATCTCATATAATAAATGGAGTGTCAAACTAAGTGCATTATTATATAGATTTATTTTTTATATACAAATAAAAATGTGTGATGCGTCCTTGTCAAGAGAAAAAAGAAAAAGAAAATTATGATTCTCTGGCATAAGAAATATTAAACTCTTATTATATTTGCAAACTCCATTATTTGAAGAAAAAAAATTAATTATTTGAGTTTGGTGATTAGGCTGGAAATAGAGGATCAGGTACGATTTTACGAAAGCTTAGAAAGAACAACAAACAGAGTCTCGTGGCATGGTATGGATGATGCCCCTTAACTTTTGGGACTCATGCTTTAAAAGGGTCCCTCCAAAAATAAAAGGAAAAAAGAAAGGGTCCGTTCATTTTGATTTGACAGAGCTTCAACGACTAAGTCATGGTTTGGTTGAATAAAAACAGCGCAGGGAAGGGACAGCCTCAGAGTCTCGCTCGATACGTTCAAGGGTGGGAAAAAAAAAGTTGAATGTAAATATGTTATAACTTGTGAAAGGGAAGATCGCAGGCCCACACGTCTTGTGGCAGATACCATCCACCACCTTCGAGGAACATGCTGATCAATTACTGACAAATGTCAAATAACGTGGGCAGTTGTCGCGTACGAATTTTTTTTTTTTTTTTTAAATATTTATGTTATGTACCAAAAAAAAATGAAAATATTTATGTTGATTTTCTTAAAGATTTTTAAACATTGAAAACTCAGTTTAAATTTTATTTCTTTTTAAGTAAGTTAAGGAGTCATTTTATTTTGGAACAGTGACGAAAATGTCACTGTTCATTAAATTTTTTATCAAAATACAACGCGAACAATGTTATTTTTCAATAAGCCATGCGGGCAAGTTTCCTACACTGCCCAGTGAACATGGTAGCCAATGATTTAGTTACACATACACAGTTTCGCAGAAAAAGCTGACGGCCACTTGTTCAAGTTCGCTACTACTGGTAGCGAACTTCGTAACCAATAATATTGTGACACGTGACAGACTTTTACAGGAAAAGCTGACTGGACGAAGTTCGCTACCAAGGGTAGCGAACTTGGTGCGCTACGTGGCACAATCTCATTGCCCGATCAGAATTAATGTACCAATCACAATAAAAAAAAAGAAAAAGAAGGAAAATAGCTATTTAATTAATATATCAATCAAAATTAATGTATTAATCACCTATCACAATTAATGTATCAATCACCAATCATAATTAGCATATCAATAGGATTAACTTTTGACTGTACCAATCATAATTAATGTATCAATCACCAATCACTTTGGACGGTCATAAACTTTAATTCTAATATTCAAATCACATGTTTTGTATTTTATTTCACATAATTTTTCGAGATCTACTTAATGACACCTCATTTGACATATTTTATCTCTCACAAATATCGTTCAAATTTGTGACAATAATATCACAAACAATTAATGTACCGATTGATTAGTATATTAATTGTGATTGGTGATTGATACATTAATTGTGAATGCTCATAGATACATTAACTGTGATTGTGATTGGTATATTAATTGTGATTAATACATTAACAATTAATGTACATTAATTCACAGCAATAGAAAAATTACAATTAATGTACATTAATTGTGATTGATGATTGGTACATTAATTATGATTAATGTACATTAATTGTCATTTTCTTTTGTTTTCTGTTTTTTATTGTGATTGGTACATTAATTCCGATCTGACAACGAGATTGTTCCACGTAGCGCACCAAGTTCGC